ACTATTCCAGAGTAAGATATTTGGAAAACAAAGTTATAAAAGGAGGCCTTTGCTAAGTAAAAGTGGGAAGGGTAAGTAGAATTGGAAGGGGGTCCAGGGAGAGTGGAAAATACGTTTGTGGGCTCTCCAGCTGGCATGGTGTGGATGTCTACTGTGACCACCACTTTGCCCATGCTTCCTGCTGGCCTGCATAGATGCAGATCATGACGTAAGTACTAACTAAATTTTAAGAGATGGCAAGGAGAAAGTAAATACCTCACAAAATGCAAAACAAGCAGTAAGTATATGAAAGACAAGATAAAGTATTTGAATATTCCAGAGAAAAATCTAGAAAAAACATGAAAATATTTATAGGATTTTAAAATAAGATGAATAAAAGAAAAAAAAGATGAATAAAAGACTTAAGAGAAAAAGTTAAAAGGAATGGCTGAATCATATTTAAAAAAATAAAGATAAATAAATCTGATAGGGAAAAAAGAGGGAAAAAGGCTGATAAGAAAAGGAACAAAAATGCTTTAAAAATGTGATTTAAAATAAAAGACAAATAAAAGCAAAAAACTTGAAGATAAGATGGATGGTAGACATAAAACAGGAAAAGTAAAGTGATATGCTTGAGCTATAAACTAAAACAATGCTGAGATGTTTTTCAAAAGATAAATAAAGTAAAGTAAACAAACAAACAAACAAACACTTGAGCAGCTGCTGGAAGCCAGCGAGTGGCAGGAGTCCTTAACAGAATTCTGAGTTGGAAATGATTCTGCATAGTGTGAGGCCCAATGTAATAAACTCCCTAATGGGCCGAGATGAGAGATGATATATCTGTCTATCTACATCTGTGCTCTTAGAATCATGCTCTCAGCACACAGTAGGCACCAGAGCCCATGTCAGGATTGCTGGACAATTAGGAGCACTGAGCAGGGCCCTGGGGGCTGATAGCTTTAGCTTCAGCCATGTGTGGGCTCCTGGGTCTGCAAACTCCATTGTGGATTTAGGTAAAGTAGATGTAGTTAATCCTTGATCATCCAGGGTTATGGACGAAAGCACTAGTTTATGTATTTTAAAATAATTTATACTTGGCTTTTAGACTATGGGGTTTTTTAATTAAAAAAAAAATTCCCTTATCCCTCTGCTTATCTCTCCTTAGGTCACTACTGTTATCACTTTTCTGTGTGTCCTTCTAATCTTGATCTATAAATTGATTCAGTCATACATATATACTTACAGGATTTTATACATACACTATAGTCATAGCTAACAAAATGTTTACCACATTCTAACTATGGACTATATTGAGTCACGAGCTTTATGTGCATCCACTCCATTTCTATAGCATTATCATTTTGATTTTATAGATGAAGAAAGTGAGGCAAATGGGATTAAGTAGCTTGTCCAAGGCCCCCCTGCCAACGAAAAATGGAAACAGGATTTGCCTTTAGGGTTCTTGGTAAGCATTACGGTGAATTTCTGCTTCACTAATTGAGATCGCTTTATACCAACTTTCTGAAACTTAGTTTCACCAATCATGGAGCTCTTCAACATGGTCATATATAGATCTGATCCATTCGTTAAATTTTGTGGCATTCTGCTGTGTATCAAAATTTAATTATTTCTTTACTATGAGCACTTAGATAATTCTCAGTTTTGATTGCTGGACACATTTCCTTTAGAGGGTCTTTATTGAGTACCAGGTAGGTGCGAGGTCGTCCTCTTGGTGTCAGATAACCAGCAGTGAACAAAGCAAAAACCCTGCTGTCGCAGCATCTATTTTCTAGTTGTGGAAATAGACATAATCCAGTGAATGTATTGCCTGCAGCAAAACAAGAAAATTGTCATCTCATGATAGAGGACACTGAAGAGGGACAGAGCAGAGTAAAGGAATAGGTAGTGGAAGGGGTGCCATTTTATATGATGTAACAAGGTGATTGATCACCACTCTTTCCCCCTATTAAATTTTTTTTAAAAAATAATTATAGACCCTCAAGAAAACACAAAAGACTACAAATAGGTCGCAGGTACATTTTACCCTGATTACCTGATGATAATATCTTACATAATCATAGAATGTAAGATGTGAGGAAATTGACCTTGGCATAGTCTATAGAACTTTATTCAAATTTCATCAGTTTTTGATACACAGTCATGGGGCATGTGTGTATTTCTGTGCAGCCTTATTAAATGTAGAGATTGTTGTCACATGAATGAAACCTAAAGGAATGAAAAGTAAGATCAGGGCCTGTCTGGATGTAAAGTCCTTCAGGCAGATGGTCTAGTATGTGCAAAGGCCCTAAGACAGGTGGGAAGCCAGTGAGGCTAAAGAGGAACTTTGTGGGGTGGGGTGTTGGGCTTGATCAAAAGGAAATGGGATGGGGGGAGGTCAAACCATGCATTTTTTTTGTACTGGGGACTAAATCCAGGGGTGTTTAACCACTGAGACACATCCCCAGTCCTTTTTTATATTTTGTTTAGAAAAAGTGTCTTGCAGAGTTTCTTAGGGCCTCACTTAATTGCTGAGGCTGGCTTTGAACTCATGAACCTCCTGTTTCAGCCTCCCAAGCCCTTGGGATTATAGACCTGTGTCTCCAGGCCCAGCCCATGCAGAGTTTTTAAAGCTACAGTGAAGTCTAATTTTTATCCTGAATGATTTTGATAGCTATTGGAAGGTGACAGAGCCAGATTCCTGTTTTAATTGGATTACTCTGGTTGCCAAGTGGAAGCAGGCCAACTAGTTATGGGTTGATTCTAAGGATTGTTCTCAATTATTCCTGTCTTTCCTAAAAGGGGATTACATATCCCCACCTGCTGCCATTTGATATCCACCCCATGGGAGGGTTACCCCACCATGCCATCCACCTACCTGCACAATTATCTAGCTTAGACCACATGACCTGCTTTTCCAATGACTGTGTGCAGATATGACTTGTGAAGAGCTCTAAGTAAGATCACATGGCTCCGCTCAGCCTCTGGGTTCTATTCTTGACCACAAGAAGAGCAGGATCCTGGAATGAGAAGACATATGAAAAAGAGCCACAGTCTGAAGTAAAGCATCCACTTACACATAACATGATGAGAAGTATTGTATTATTCTAGGCCATTAGGATATCAGAGTCATTTATTATTGCAGCTTAGTTGACTAATGCAGAGGGCTGTTGTCATGAGCCAGATGATGGTGGTTGGACTATGGTGGCAGCTATACTTTCATGCATGTAAATTAGAATTTCTGGGGTATAATTGCTGGGTGGAAGAGCATATGCACTACTGTTAATCTAGTAAAAATCCGTCAGTCCACGTGTGTATCCATTGGTTGTGCAAGAAAGTGCCTGTTTTCTTATGTCATAGCAAACATCTTTTTACATTTTTTCCCAATCTGATGGTAAAAACATATCTGTCATTGTAATGTGTATTTCTATGATTACTGGAGAGATCAAACACCCTTGCATATTTCTTTTTATCTGTTCTTTCAGGTAGACAGATTATACTATGATGTAATCCCAACCTACTTTTCCAGCACTTCTCACATTTTCACCATTATTCTCCAGTTGAATAATATATTTGATTGAATACCTACTGGGTGTCAGGCAGAACCCTGAATATTTTATATACATCTTTTTGTGTGTGTGTGTGTGGGGAGAGGTACCAGGGATTGAACCTAGGGGTGCTTAACCACTGAGTAACACCCCCACCCCCCCTTTTTATTTTGTATTTTGAGACAGGGTCTTGCCAAGTTGCTTAGCACCTTGCTAAATTGCTGAGGATGGCTTTGAACTTAGGTGTGTGCAACTGTGCCCAGCCTACATACATCTTTAAATTTAATTGTCACAACATTGTCATGATATAGATATCAGGACAAGAGCTATTGTTGCTCCTGTTTTTTTTTTTTTTTCCTCCTGGTGCTGTGGATTGAACCCCAGAACTTGTACATGCTAGGCAAGTGCTGTACCACTAAGCCATACCTTCTGCCCCAACTGCCACTTTTAAGCATGAGGAATCTGATGCCTGGCGCTATTATGTGCTTTGCTTCTAGTTATGCAGCTGGTGTTAGAGATGGCTCAACTCAACTCAAGTACTTTTTCTAATGTTCACATTGTCATCTGGGCTAATTTACTCATTATTCCTCAGTCAAACTTTGCTTTCCTTGGCTCTCATTTGCTGAACTATCTTGGTTGGGGGTGATTCTGTGCTGCTCAACTCCTTTCAAATTCTCATCTGCCCTTATAAATCCCTCACATTTTTTCTTAATCATTAAATTCATTAATATGAATTTTTCAGCTGAGAAAAAATATATACTTATGAATCTACTAAAGGATGTTATATAGCTTAGGTAGTAGCCCTGAGCAAGGCACATAGTAGTCATAAAATAACTTGCAAAATCTTCTTGAACAAAACTCTTTTAACATTATTTTATGCAGACTTATAGCCTTTGAATGTATTGCAAAAATTTAGTCCTTGAATGTATTGCAAAAATAAATTAAAATTTTTATTTTATTAATTTATAAAAATAAATTAAAACATTTATTTTATCCCCTTTTCCCAAATTTTTCCACAGTCTTTTCTCAGCAGTCCTTTTTGTAATGTTTTATTTTACCAATTGAATAAGGAAGCCTTTCAAGGTGGCAGTGATTGCCCTGTGTTATATATTAGGAATCTCAGAAGATGCCGATGGGCAAGAAGCCTAAAATAAAACACAAGGGGAGCATAGAGCCCACCCATGCTCACCCACACCTTTCTCTTATATTGAGTTTCTGTGTTATAAAGGATGAACACATTATTGTCACGAGAGTCAAAAGCTATTATAGACTTCAAATAGTTTCTTCTGCCTTGTTTTTTCTACTGAGTAATTTAAAGAACAATATGCTTCTGTCCACATGTACTTTAACTAAGAATGGACAATTAATAAGCTTGATTTTTCTTCTGTGGGAACATACCTGTCTCTAGTAAATTCATAATTCTTCTCCATTCAATTACAGTAGGTCTGATTTCTGCTCATCTCCATTTCTTTGTAGCCTCTACATGTCTCTGAAGATACGCGTGTTCCAACTTAATTTTCCATTGTGGGGAAACAGACAAGTGTGTCTGACACGTACTGAACAGGAAATAAGAAAGCATTTTTATGTGAAGAAAATGTAAGTGCCATCTGAAATCAGGCAAGCAGTTAATTAAAAAGCATCAATCTATGTACATTTGAAGAAGTGGTCCTCCTGGGAAACTGGACCAATCTGGATTTCAGTCAAATCTTATTTCCAACATGCTTAATTTTAAGATTTTTTTGGAGGTTGAATGATTATATACAAGTGTGATAGGATATTTCTTTAAAATTATTGCCATCCCCAAGGTAAGCACTTATTGTTTTGTTTAGATTTCACATAAGGCATTGCACTATGCTTTGGAAATAACACATACAGACTGGAATAACAATTATTTCTTTTTTGAATCTAAGTTCAATATGAATGAAATCTTAGGTTATTATGGTATTTTACTTTATAGATTAGCATGGAAGGCTTTTTTTCAATAATAAAGATAAGCTCTAAAAGAATTTGGATGTTTCACTATTAGGTTACTATAATTTTTTAAAAGAACTAATATTAATTGCATTTTTTTTGCGATCAAAAATGTGAAGAAAAATGCAATAAAATGTTGGTACGTGGCCTTCGCTATTATGAGTCAAATAATGTTCTCACAAACAATGGTAACTTATTTATGTAACTCATTGTTTCTTATAATAACTTTTTAGAATAATTAAGGTAGACTGCATTCAGCACATAAATGTTGTTAGTCGAAAAATTTCTGAAATGTCCTGCAAACTTTCTTTTCTGTTAAGCTTATTGAAGATAAATTAAACCTTTCCAAATGGTTCAGGGAACTCTTGGGAGAATTCATTGTTTTGTGGTTGGAAGATAGTCTAAAGTGTGAATGATAACATCATCATCATCATCATAATCCTAGCTAATACTTGTGATATGTATTATATTGCATGCAGGCAAGCCTTCAAGGATATTAGTTATATTAGCTACTCAATTCATATAACAACACTGTGAAGTACCAGTATCCTCCTCAAGTACAGAAGAGGTAACCCAAGCATTGGTGTTGGAAGGGTTAGTAATTGCCCTTGGGTAGTCCAGATCAGAGGATTCACTTTCAGGCACTCTATCCTTACAGTGTAAAGTCTCAGCCTCACACTTTTTATTATCTAAGATAAGCTCGTGTTCAGGTGTCAAGTTTGAATTTTGGCTTTATTACTTGGATATTGAATGATGGGTAAGTTCTTAGCTTTTCTAAGTTCCAATTTTTCTTTTTAATCTTTAGATGAGGATGCCATTAACATCACAGAGTGTTGCGAAGAGGAAATGAGGCAGTGTAGGCAAAGGGCTTGGCATGTGGGAAGCCAACCATGAAGAGTAACTTCCGTGACTTGTTTTTATTACTTCTATTTTATTAAAAGGTAAGAATTTACACGTGCTCTGTGACATGGGGAACTATTTGCATACCTGAAAAGTACACCTCAGTTGCTAAAAATTTTTAGTCTGTAACTATGGTTTTCTTCCTCATAATTGGTTATCTGCTTCTGCCATGTTCTGATATTGTTTAGTGGTGAAAAATAATATTGAATATGTAATGAATCACACCATCATGTATGATTATATTGCACCAATAAAAAATATGGAGAAAAACATAAGCTCTAGAAAATTCAGCTCCATCATTTACTGATTTGTAGGCAATTTATTCATTTTTCTAAGCCACAGTTTTCCTTCTTTCAAAGGGGGATCTGTATTCTTATTGAAACAATTCCATAAATTTGATAATATGATACTGTCCCTTTGTGATATAAGTAAGAATTTCGAGAAAATATTCTATATCTTAAGATGCCCTCAATATAACCTTCTCAGCATCTGTTTTCTTTTCTTTTATTTCCAAGTTTGTCTACTTACTTCAGCATTTTAAATTTGGTCAGGACAACTCATTCAATATTCCTTCTTATTTTTCCCAAATGCCTGATTGCCTTTGAACACCTCCTTTATTTGTCTTTCATTTTTTAGCACTGGCAGATTTGGTATATTTGTTGCCATCGTTTGGGATGGTTTGGCGGGAAAGGTTTTCCTAAGGGAGAAAGATTTCATATCACCCCACCCCTTTTGTGGGGAAAGCAGGTTGGCTTCTATTACCAGTTTTGACACATTCATATTGTGGAAATTGTTTGCATGTATCAGTTTTTGAAATAGCTAGTTCCACTCTCTATTTTCCTGATTGCTTTTGATTCAGCCAATTTCATTTGGCGCTCTCTCTCTCTCTCTCTCTTCCACTTGTATTAGGAATTTTGTAACTGCAGAAATAATGAGTTGGAAACAATAATTATGTATACCTTTAGAGGAAAACACAGACATACAGATTCAATGTAATTCCTATCAAAATGTCAATGATATTGTGTGCATGTACAAATATGTAACAACAAATCCCATCATTATGTACCATTAAAATGTGGAAAAAATACCAATGACATTCTCCATAGGGCTAGAGAAAATAATTCCACAGTTAATTGGAAACACACACACATACACACACACACACACACACACACAAAGCTTCAATAGCAATCTTGAGCCAAAGAACAAAACAGGAGGCCTTATACCAACTGACTTCAAAACATACTTTAAAGCTGTGGTCACAGAAAGAGCATGATATTGGCTGAAAAACTGACACATGAACCATTGGAACAGAAGTACACCAAGATCTACACATCTACAGCAATTGATTTTCAACAAAGGTGATAAGAACACACATTGGAGAAAGACAGTCTTTTTAATAAATGAAGTTGGGAAAACTGAATATCCACATCGAAAGGATGAAACTAGACCCCTCTCTTTCCCTATATGCAAAAATCAACTTGAAATGAACTAAAGTCTTAAGACCTGAAACTACTAAAAGAAAATAGGGGAAGCGCTTTGGGATATTGGAATGGGTAGGATTTTTGGGCAAAATCCCCAAAACATAGGGAACAAAAGGAAAAATAGACAAATGTGATTACATCAAATAAAAAGCTTCGACACATCAAAGAAAACAACAGAGCAAAAAAAAAAAAAAAAAAAAAAAAAAAACAAAACCAAAAAACCCCCAAAACCCCCCAAAAAACCAGCCTACATAATGGGATAAAATGTTTGCAAGTTATACATCCGATAAGGGATAGATATCCAGAGTTAATAAGGAACTCCCAAAACTCAACAGCAAAATTCTGCAAGTAGCACAGTTTAAAAATGGGCAATAGATCGAAATAGACATTTCTAAAAGAAGGTATATAAATTCTGACAGGTATATGAAAAAAATTCTCAATATCACTAATCATCACTTCACCCTGTAAAAACAGCAATTATCAAAAAGACTAAAGAGAGTAGGTGCTGGAAAGGATGTGGAAAAAAGGGAAGCCTTCCACACTGAGGATAGGAATATGAATCAATTCAGCCATTATGCAAAATGGTATGGAGATTCCTAAAAATACAGCACTAAACATACAGCAGTGAATGATCCAACAATCCCATTACTGTGTATATGTCCAAAGGAAACCAAATCAGTATGTTGAAGGGGCAGCTGCACTCCCATGTCCATCACAGCACTCTTACAATAACTAAGAAATAAAAACAAGCTCAGTGTCTGTCAGTTGATGAATAGATAAAGAAGATGGGGCACATAGATAGGTTAATATTCAGCCACAAAAATGAATGAAATCCTATCATTTGGGGCAACGTGGATGTAACTGGAAATCATTGTAAGGGAAGTAAGCCAGGCACAGGAAAATAAGTACTGCATGATCTCACTCATGTGGAATCTAAAAAGTTAACCTCATAGAAGATGGGAATAGAATGGTGGTGACCAGAGACTAGGAGAGGAGCGGGGATAGGGAGAGGCTTATCCATGGGTACCAAGTTGTAGTTAGATAGGAACAAGGAGTTCTGGTGTGCTGCTGTGCAGTGGGCGACTACTGAGAACAACAATGTGCTGTACATTTCAAAAAGCTAAAAAAAAAAAGGATTTTGAATATTTTTACCACAAAATGAAAAATATGTGAGGAGCTTAACCTATTTAACCTGATTTAATCATCAGGCAATATATACATATGTCAGGACAGTTCAGAGCCCTTCACTAATATATGTAATATTCATATTTTTGTGTATCAGTTAAAAAAAAGGAAAACACTATATAATTGTGCTTGAACAAATTGTGAAGCATGAAAATGACACGCTTGGGTCAGCTTCTCAGCTCCTTTGTTGCCTATGGTAAAGATCCCTAAGTTTATCAACCCCTCTGGTGCGGCCAGATGAAATGGTACAGAGGACTGTTTTGCAAGGAAACTGCCACCGTAGAAAGAGTCAGGTCATAGGAAGGAGTCATAGATGAGTTTGAAATACAAAATCTATCTCTGTCTTTCACCATTCTAGCATTACTTTTTAAAGAGTTCTCAGATTTTCATATTTTAAAATTCATTTTACTGTTGTTTTAAAACATGACAATTATTTTGTCCATTGACACTTTAGGATTTAGATATTTTAATTAGGTGATAGTTTCATATAGTTAAAAACGAATCCCCCAAACCTTCATTATTAAAGAGATAACAGAAGTCTTACTCTTGCCTGTTTCTCACCAGTCCATTTTCTACTTGCTTTATCTTCTTTTATTAGTTTCTCATATATCCTTCAAATATACAACTATAAGCAAAGATTAACTATATTCATATTTCATCACTTCTTTTTCCAACTTGATTTTTTAATTTAATATATGGTAACATCTTTTCATATTAGTATCTAAGAGATAAGTGGGTCTAACATTGTTTACATGACTGGTCTCATACAGATACACACTGGAGTTATTTCTCATTTTTTTTTGCTTGTATAATTAAAACTGTAGTGAATAACAGGCTACTTGTACCATATAACGTGGGAAGTTTATCTGTAGGATATATTCCCAGAACTGAGATGGCTGGGTAGAGGGAGAATGCATTTGGTAGTGTGATAGTTATGACCAAATGGGCCTCTGAAGAGCATCATATGTGCTGATTAGCAAAGTAGGGGGTGCCTCTTTCCCCTTGGCTTTGGGAGCATATGTTAACAAATGCCAGGCTTTTGACCCTCTTGTAGGTGAGAAGTAGTATAATTATTGTAATTTAAGTTTTTTATTTTGTATGAATGATATCAAGTGTCTTTGTATAGGTTTAAAGATATTAGTTCTTTCCTCTGAATTTCCAGTTGTTTATATATCAAAGAAATTAGATTTTTGTCTGGGATGTCACATAATTTTGTTTCCATTTTGTTACTTGTTTTTTTTTTCTTCACTTAAAGTGTCTAGTAAAGGGCTGGGGATGTGGCGCAAGCGGTAGCATGCTCCCCTGGCATGTGTGCGGCCCGGGTTCGATCCTCAGCACCACATACAAAACAAAGATGTTGTGTCTGCCGAAAACTAAAAAAAATAAATATTAAAATTCTCTCTCTCTCTCTCTCTCTCTCTCTCAAAAAAAGTATCTAGTAGAAGCTTATTATTTTTTATGAAATAAATTTGTCAACTTTCCTTTAATGGATTTTGAATTTTGACAGCTGATTAGAAAGCCTTTTCTCTGCTGAAAGTTATAAAAGATTTTGTCCATGTTTTCTTCTAGTAATTTTATGGTTTGATCTTTTATATATTTAATTTAGATTTTTTGTATATTTAAATTTTATATATTTAAATTTCTTGGATCCAATTCCATCATCTCCCAAATAGTGATTTCTTTTCGTAGCACCATGTATTTTAAAAAAGCTATCTTTTGCCCACTAATAGGAATGCAGTATGTATTTGGGCCAATTTTTGGACTTTCCATTCTGTTCCAGTGGCTTGTATGTCTACTTGCAAACTTATAGCATGCTACTTTACTTTTCATGCCATTCTAAATAGTTTTAAAAGTAGTAGAAGTCTTCCACAGGGTCCCTCATCTCTTTACATGTACATGATTAATATGAATAATGACTATTCAGCAAGGTGCTTTTTTTTTATAGTATCGCTAAATATAGATTGACCATGCTTAAGGAATGAATAGGGTGTTTTTTATTTTTTACTTGATAGAGTATATGTTATATGTGATAGAAAGTAAGGAAGGACAGGATTTCTTTTAAAAAATGTTCTGTTGTTTGACATTTTATATACGTCTTTGATACCTGTTGAATGAAATACTATGACTACAATGAAAATGCTTGTAAAATGCTTGTATGGATATAATTCATTGTCTGTCCTTGGTTCCAGTCCAGTCCTTTTCCTCTTTGTTTATGGTACTGCTGCCAGTGTGACTTGTTTTAAACATGATCATGCCAGTCTCTTATATAAATAGATCAGTGACTATGTGTCAGAGTGAAGCGACCACATGAATGGCAGTTAAGCCACCTAAAAGTCAAATGATTTTCGAGTATTAACTTTGTTTTATAACAGCAGTGTTATGTATGATAAGAAGCAAAATGACCTTTGCCCTTGATCTATAGAGTTTACTACCTAATGGAGAAGACTTAGGCTGACCATGGGATCATACCCAAGTGTGATGTGGCTCTAATACAGCCTTGAGCTCCCTATCTAGGCTTGTCACCTCCTATTACCTGGCTCTCCAGCTATGACAAAATATTCGCAGTTTCTCAAATTAAACCACTCTCACTTATCTCTGTGATTTTGTGTCTGCAACATTTTTCTTGGAATGTCTAGATACATTTGACTGAGTCTTTCCTTACTCCATGGAAGAAGCATTTATTCTGAGAAACTTTCCCATACCCTCTGCTCTTCTTTGCTGCCTCCTTTCCTTTCTTGCTTCCTTCCCTTTTAATATTTATTGTCTGGTATGTGCCATGCTCTATGCTGGAGATACCATGGCGATTCAGAATAGCTGGATCCTTGTTTGCACTGTGTACCAGGCAGTATGCAATCCTGGGTGATGCAAATATAAACAAGCAAGGCTGTTTCCAGGGAAATCACAGTGTGGGGGAGACAGCACACTTTAAAATGTGATAGCAAGTGAAATGCTGGAGATATTTGGAGGGTGTTATTTAACTAAAGACAGCCATTTCAGGAAAGTGTAGGTTCGAGTCAAATGATTCTGGAGAGGTTTCCTGATGTAAATTTTAAAGAAAGATTCGATGTTGACTAATTAAGCAGGGCGAGTATTTGAGAGAGGCATTCTTTAGAAAATTGCATGGATGAAAATTAGGGAGGGAGAACCAGCAACAAGAGCCGTTTTTTTTGAAAGCCATTTTGTGATGGGACTGGAGAGGGAGCAGAGATCTAGTACAGAAGGCTTGAGAGACTGTCAGGGCAGGGAATGATCTGATTTGACACATCCTCCCCAGTGGATACATAGAGGTAAGATCCGAGGAAGGGAGATTGGTCTGGAGAGCTGTTCAGAAGGTGGACATCACAGGACTAGATGTGGAAGTGACTGAGACAAAGGCAGGCTTCAGAAAATCTAGCACGCTGTACAGAAAGCAATGGGATCTGAAATAGTACAGCTAAATAATGAAAGTCAGACAAATCCACCAAATGCCAAAGCCAACTCTGAAAACATTGATGAATAATGTAGTCTTTGGGGGCTTTTAGATGACTGTTCTATGTACTTGTTTATTTTAGAATTTATTGTATGTAGCTGACACTTATTAAGCGATCGCTGTGCATGTGACTGTTTTAAGCAATTGACATGCATGAATGGATTTATTCTCAATAATCCTATGAAGTAAGTAGGTGGCGACTTATTCCCATTTTTATAGATGAGGAAATGGAGGAAAAGGGTAATTAGATGATTTGCATAAAATTCCACAATTAGTAGTGGACCTCGTTTTGGTGGGACCTCAAATGTCATTTTGATCATTGTTGGTGGAATTGCATTCTTAATTTCCTCTTTGTATTGTTCATTGCTGCTGTATAGAAACAAAACTGATTTTTGCAGGTTGATCTTATACCCTGAAACTTTGCAAAATTTGCTTAATAACTATAGTAGTGTGTGTGTGTGTTTGTGTGTGTGTATGTATGTATGTGTGTATGTGTATTTTTATGGGCTACTGCCCTAAATTTTGTTATATTTTTTTCCTTCAAAAATCTGTTGC